GCTGCGCAGATGCAAGTGTGCTGCGCTAATGCAGAGCAGCGCTGCGCTAAGAAGAAGCAGGGCAGCGCTAGGCGGTAGGGCGCTGCCTGCTTGCAGAGCACTGGCGGACATAGCCGGGCCGCATGAGGGTGCAGGGGAGGTGAGGGCGAAGGTGGTACTTCAGAGGTGAAGGGCGCTGTGTGGGTAACAAGGGAGAGTGCGGGGAAGAGGACATGTACCTGGTTATGGAGGAGATCGGCATTGGTGTTGACATCATCACTCGTTGGTAGTCAAGTTGTCTGGTTGCTTTTAATTGTTATAGTTGTAGGATAGTTGTAGAGTAGATAGGGCGCCTGGCGCCATTCACAAGAGAGAGCTACGTTTGGGTTATGCTGTTGGTGTTACCCTGGTGGGCATGGACATTGACTAACGATTCTTTTGTATCATTCTCAATTGGATGGTTACTCGGTTCCATGTGCTATCTGCTTCGGCTTTAACTACTTGGACTTCAGTGTGATTTTGTATTCTGGATTTCTGTGCTTCGTCCATACTCATGTTCCTTGCAGATGGGTTTATACCAGAGATTTAGAAAAACAGCTCAATCATGATGTTCTTCACCTCTTCGCAAACGGGTGTTATATCCAACGCTATAGTCGAAGCCATAGCAGCCAGACCATTCAACTTAGAAACAATGTCTGGCCCATCAGAAAGCAAGTCAAGAAAACATAGCAGTCAGGCCATTCAACTTAGAAACAATGTCTGGCCCATCAGAAAGCAAGTAAAGAAAACATAGCAATCTGGCCATTCAACCTAGAAACACGCCTCACCTTTTTTGTGACCCATCAGTCTTAAACAAAACCACCTTCCTCCCACCTTCCCCCAATTTATCCCCCTTTGTTTGATTTTTGGCAACACTGAAAGTAGGATTTACGCAAGTTTTTCTTTATGATTAAGTTTCAGAAAGAATCAATAAAACATAAGGTTGCTCCAATGCGCTTCAATAAGACTAGAGAGATGTATGTAAATAAGGGTATTAGTGCACTCACATAAGGCAAAAAAGATTGCCTGATAGTTCCCAGCCTCCGAAACTCTTCCCGAGTCCCGGTAGAGCTCCTGCAATCGGTGGGTGGATCTTCTTCAAAGGCCTTGGCGGGGGTTACGGGTTTCCAATCCCGCCTGCCACGTTCCTTTCCGAACCAGATTAGACTTTAGAAGACCAAGAGGATTGAAGAGGCACTATTGCCCCCATCTATGGTTGCTGGGCCCGTTTCCCATCATGTGCTGATGTATCATGTTAACATTGTATCTTTGGAAACGATGGACGCGTTTTCCAACAGGTGTAACTCCCCACCAGTAGACTGCAGCCCCCTGCAGGACAGGTAGGAGTACATGCTCGTATCATTACTCCTATATGTTTTTGCAGGTGGATTAAAAAAAAAAAAAGGTTTCACACTCTCGAGTTATGAGGAAGAAACAACAACTCATGCGAGAGGGCCTTGAGGGATGCGCCTGAGGGCCGCGCAACGACGATCAAAACGCAGCAAGGACTGACGAGTTGTAGCCAAATACATGAAAGATGGTTAACCAACGACCAAAACCTAGAGCACCTGCACACTGACAAACCTTCACGTTGAAGCAATGGCGCCTTTGTTGAGACGGACCACCTCCCCAAGTCGCAGCATTGTTTCTCCTTACTAGACCGCCGCTTTGAAGCCTAAAAAGGTTGCGTTTAAATAAAGCATACCCCTTGTACTATACCGGAATGACAGGCAAAACCCAATCATTTGCAGCAAGGCAAAGCGTGCTCACAACAAAAACACAACACAAGACATTGTGCACTCAGCAGAATATACAGCAATGCACAGTCAGTAGCATTGTGCAGCAAAGGTCCCCTAGCGGCGGCCGCTCATTTGAGAGACGGTTAACGGAGACCCAAATATTCGCCGTTTTCGTTGGCAATTGCGGTGCGAATTTTATCAAAAATTTTAAACACAAACGATATGAGACCATAGTGCAAACATCAAAAAAGGAAACAGGCAAAAAAAAACGAAAAAAAAAAAAAAAAAACACTATGAAACCCGAACACAAAGACACTGTCCGAGTCAAAATGAAGCGTCCAACGAATCCAACAAAATGCCAACTTTTCCATTATTGATCCAAACATGTCAAAACTGCATACATGACGTACCCTAAAACACATATATGTCACACAAAAAGAAAAACAAGAAAAAAAGCAAAAAGCCAGCACAATATGACAGTTTCAGTGCAATTCGGTGCAAAATTCGTCGAAAATAATACCCCTGGTTAACCACTTCCAAGTCGGCGCCCTGAAGTCGCAAGATCACTACACTTTTCGAATGCTCGCACGCGGAGAACCACCGGCCCCTTGGCCTAGTTTCAAATTTGTAAAATCACAATAAAATCAGGTAGTCAAATGCCCCGCCCCGCAAAAAAAAAAAAATCAGATCTACACTGATTTGACATCGGTGGGGGACCAAAACAACGAAACTCAAATGTCACTGAAAGTATAAAGTTACCATCATTACCAATAATATGAACGATGCTCTTCCCTTCACTGGCGCCCAACGCCCGAATGATTACACAACTACTTTACTCTATTTGAGCTCTAACTGATGAAGCTACCCGTTGTTGTCAGTAGCAACAATTAGAGAACAGACATACGTCGACCTTATAGACCCCTGTTAGGACCAAGTTTGCGGTTCACTCCTGCTGTTGTGCTTTTCCTCTAGATCTACTGTTCTCTTCTTACATACATATGCACCGTTATGTCTACCACGTTCTGAGCACGATTGTAACCAAAGGGACGATGGTGGATAAGGAAGGAGATCACGTAGTTTAAAAGTGTTAAAACATAGATTGAAAAGTGGTCGGACATGATTCCAACTGTAGCCACGGGCTTGGTTTCGTTACCCAGCAAACGCACAAAACGAGAACGAATCTTCGGGTTGAACGTGGAATGGTGCATCGCCTCCTATTACATAGTTTGCGCACTACGCCCTCTCAATTCTTGGGGAGTGGGAAAGGATGATCTTCCGTTAGCTCACATGTAGACACACTTCAAAAGTGAGAGTAAATCTCTCATTAAAACATGGTTAGATACATACTAACCGAGTTCACCCATAATTGCTCAAAATTAGATGAATGTTGTGCTAGAACACAGAAAGATTCAACTTTAGATGGAAAGGTTGCCCTTAAAGTAAGATTGGGACGAGACACGCTACGTTGAAGACCACAACATAAGGAAGTGGGCAACTGCTTGATCCCGGAGACCACCACGACGAAACGACGAGAACTACAATGACGATCGTTACGATGGACAATGCTATTACCGCATTCGACGAACATCACCAAGATGATGAGCTCGATGACAGGAAACACTGTGATTTGCAACCTAAGGACGAGGATCATGAGCAGCATGGCAACTGGGACGAGCGCGAGTTCCTAGGATGATATATGCCAAACACCAAGATGAGGAAAATGTCTACCTCAGCATGCAGCGCGCTCCTTAGCGGGATCCCAACGACGAAGGTGTGATGAACCGACCATGAAGGAGA